GTCTCGGCCTCCCAAAGTGCTGGGATTACAGGCTTTTGAGTTTCTGATTAGCCTTTCCAAAGGAGGCAAATCAGATATGCATCTATCTCAGTAACTTTGAATAGAATGGGAGGCAGGTTTGCCCTAAGCAGTTTCCAGCATGAATTTTCCTTAGTGATCTTGGGGGCCCGAGATATTTTCCTTTCACACTCGGGACCAAAATTTTAAGAGCATTGACTGTGGTAAGAGATATTTAAGAATAGGATTAAAAGATACCAAGGGGATAGAATAAATTAGTTTTGAAGGGTGATGGAGAAAGGGTTTGAAGTTGAATCTAAACTACCAAGATTGTTAAAACTCTATTTCATCCCAAAACCTGCAGGCTGAGGAACTCTAAAAGGGTATATTTTGAACCATAGATAAACAATGTTATAATCACCGCTTAAAATGTTTAAATCAAGACAAGTATGCATGTTTTTAAAAGTAAACAACTGATTTGCCCTTTATAAAAATATCTGAATTAAGTATTTTCATCATCATAATATATAGAACAAATCTACATGTTTCACAGTTCAGCATCTAAAAACCCAGAAGTGTGGGTGCAAAAGAAAATAATTTTCTGGAACTTGGGAAAAACCCTTTTAAGGATTTAAACTGTGAAGCACTTGACTTCTAACAGCAAGTGCACAGGAAGAAATTTAACTACAGCATAAAAGTCACATTCTCACAGATTCTCAAAATAACGAAATATTATTCATTTACATCTCATATTTTTAATTTTTGTAATAAAAATAAGGAGATTTCTGATTTTGAGCAGCGTAATTTATAACTTTTCTTTGATAATGCACACGTTTATAATTTTTTTTTTTTTGAGACAGAGTCTCACTCTGTTGCCCAGGCTGGAGTACAGTGGCGTGATCTCAGTTCACGCAACCTCAGTCTCCTGGGTTCAAGCAATTCTCATGCCTCAGCCTCCCAAATACCTGGGATTACAGGTATACACCACCAAACCCAGCTAATTTTTGTATTTTTCGTAGAGACGGGGTTTCACCGTGTTGGCCAGACTGGTCTCCAACTCCTGACCTCAAGTGACTCACCCACCTCGGCCTCCCAAAGTGCTAGGATTACAGCCAAGAGCCACCATGCCTGGCCTACAGTGGATTCTAAATAACTGATTCTACTTAAAATAAAATATTAATTCAAGTGCTAAAGACTCTCTTTCTTATTAAGTTGATTTAATTATGTTATTCCTATCCTCATTTATGCTTTTTCCTAACTCCATAACAATTTTCAATCCCTCTATCCAAACCATCCATAAACAAGCATAGCTCTCTTAAGAATTTGAAGTTACAATTAAAACACTTAAATAGAGATTGTCTTAGTTTAATAACCCCAGCCCTATGATTCTAACAATCAATGAACACAGATGAAAAAAGACAAAATGAAAATACAACAAAACAAATGTCTTAGGAGCAGAGTCTATTGTTAGCAGGGAAATGTCATTTTTATAACCTCAGAAAGGCACAATATACTTGTCAAGACATTGAGAATTAACCTGGCTATTTCAGCCATACCAACAAATCTGTTCACATTAAGTAATTATAGGGTAGGAACTAAAAAGGAATATGACATTAAAGAATATAAAATATTATGTATGCATCATGAACTTAATTTGGAATTCTTTGTGTTTTATAAAAAGTGGGAAGGTCACAAAAAAAAGGTGGAGGTGTAGGAACTGAAAGAACTTCCAATTGAAAAAAGACATGAACTGCAATTATATTCATATGCCCTATTTAGAAAAACATCTTGAAGCCATCCTCCAGTGTTAAAGGAGATTATTTGTTGACTAAATTTTTTATCTTTCCATTAATTAGTTATGCTTCAGAACTTATTCATTAAACTCCTTAGCACTTTTGACACACTAAAGAATTATGTGCCTATCAAGAGACTGTTTAGTGGCAAGAATCCAAAAAGATGAAACTGCACCTGTTTTTGGATTCAGAGATTCTAATTAATTTTAAAATAACCTCCCTTCTCTACCTTTTAACTGGCAAATGAATCAGTGGAAGAGATAGCAAGGCCTTCTTATTTCTCCTATCAGACTAATTTAGGCAAGTTCTCATTTTTGTGAGGTATCCTCAGATGTGAGGGATGTAGAGATTTTGTTCCTCTCTGACCCTTGCAAGATTAAAGGCAAAGAGTATTAAACATGATGGCTTTTGGCATATTTCAATGCCAAAGGCCACAGATGACAATTACGACATAACAATCATAAATAATCTGTACACCAAATAACACAGCAGCAAATGTTATATAGCATAAGCTACAAGAGATGCAAGGAGACATAGATAAAATGCATGAATAATAATAAGATATGTTAGATAATAAGATACGTTAACTTGCCACTCTCAGTACCAGGACAAATCAAAAAGATTTAAAAAATACATAAAGTTATAAAGACCGAATCAACTTAATAAAGCAGAACTTAAAGACATACATATATATCTTGTTATATATATGTGTGTGTGTATATATACACACACACACACACAACTTATATATACACACACATATATATCAGGGTGTGAAGGGATTATATATATTTAATACTATATATATTTAATATTTTATATACACATAATCCCTTCACACCCTGATAATTTTTGCAACTTTTCATTAAGCATGCAATTATTTCAAAATTAAACTATCAAAAATGAGAAGAAAGAGGAGGAGGAGGAGGAGAAGAGGAAGAAGAGGAGAATCAGGAAAAAATAGTGCTGGTAAGTTACTATTTTCCTCCTCCTTTCTTAAAACATTATTAAAGCATTTTGTATGTTGAACAAACAAACAAAAACTCCTGATCTGATGGACTTTTGAAAGAACTAGTCTTTTTCAGAGCCTGTAGAAATAAGAAAGGTAGCCAGAGAGCTGTCTGTATAATTTGACTCATTAAGCACAAGATGTAAAAAGTCTCTAGATTCCAAGATTTTTAAGGAGAGAGAACAAAAAGCACACACTCAAAATAATAAAATGTGACAGATATATGATGAAACAGGTCCAATACCCGGGGGTCCTGTGTTCATTTTTACTGTGTCATTGGGCAAAACAAATTACCATTTTATTTTAAAATGAAAGGAAAATGCATTTTGTCGGTCTCACTGAGCAAATGGTCTCATTTTAGCAGACCCAGGCCAGAGGCACTGTACTCAGGGTTTTCTCCAACCTTCTTTAAGAAAAGGAGTTACCCAAGTGAAGTTGTAATAAAGAAAATGGGACAAAGCAAATGATAATGATTCTACAGCTGAGGTAATTTATCATGAGGGTACTCATTTTCATGCAATACATTTGATATTTTTTTCCTAACCACCACTGACGTGGACATTCAGGAAAATAAAATATATTTGCTTTGGCCTTGTATTTTATCCTCTTCTTTAAGCAAACAAGAATGGCTGTAGTGTAAATATGCTTCATTTTACCACAAAGGATTGTTCTGGTGAAATGTACAACTTTTTATGAAGGGTTATATATATCTCCTTTATACTCCAGTAAACAAAACAGAACAAGCACTAATGAGCATTAAACATACCCAGAATGTTGACTTTAAACTGTTGTATTTTCTTCATGAAAAAAATAAAGATGGTTCCTAGAAGAAATCTAACTGTAATTCTAATATTATTTATATGCGGTTAAGGAAAAGCTTACAAACCTTGGTATTCAGTCATTTGCAACCCTGAGCCATTTTCTAGAACTCACAATTTTTACAGAACCTGTTTTCCTACAAAAGGTCATTTCTTTTCCATTCTCAATTCTATATTTTTCAAGTAATGGTGTTTTTGAAGTCAGTTTTTCATTATATTGTGGTGGATTTTGCTTTTGTAGTTTTTAAAGTCTATCAGTTAATCTTTTACTTTTGAGAATAAGTGGCATTCAAGCTATGATAGGTTGACCTCGGTAGCTGAAAATCCAATAGTTTAAAAATTGAGCTCATTTTTCATGAGACACAAGCCATGAAAAATGTGATCAAAATGAAGTCGACATTCTGCAATTCTAACTTATTTTACCTGATAAAAAAAAAAAACAAGAAATGATTCTCCTCTGACCTTATTATTACTTCCTTTTATATCTGTGCATTTCAGGAACCTGCTGCAGATATTTGAGCAGAAAATGATCTAAAAGGTCATTTGGCAATTTTTTTTTTTTTTTTTTTTTTTGGCCAAGCTGTATATCCTACACTGTCCCCAAACACACAACATTTTTTTATTTTATCACTTACATATACTGTTACTGCCCTTTTATTGTTGTGGTTGTGGTTAGTACAACTATCTACTGAATTCTAAGTTCTAAAATGCTCTAAATTTTAAAATGAATTTATGATTAGCCAAATAATTTTTATGGCCTATTAATATAGATGGACAGAACCAGCTTTATAAACCTAAATTTAATTTACCTATACTGTGATCACTCTGCTATAAGAGGCCAGACTCATTAACCTCCTCCACACTTTCAGCTCACTACTTAGGTTGACTGTGATGAGGGAGAAAGTTTTGGGGTAAAATGATCTATATTCAAGCCTCCATTCATTTACTAATCGGGAAAGTCACTAAGCTTCTCTGGGCCTCCCTTGGCTCCTATCTAAAGAAAAGGGTTGAACTAGACAGGTTCTATTGCCCTTCTGAGACTAACACCCTACATCACTACCATGTCAATCATTCCACAAGCCATTTTCACACTTACTAGCACGGAGCTACAAGGCACGTTAGGCTGTGACCACCTTTAGTCTAAAAGGTACTGTCCTACTGTTGCCAAAGAAAGTTTAATCAAACTCAGCCCATTAGGCTGTGACTGATACTAATGTTCTCTGCTGAAATAGCATTATTAGTTTTCATTAAGATTCACATCTCATTAGTGACCCAATTTCCAAAGTTACCAAACAAAGGAAACTTCTCTTTAAAAATGCGAGAAGTAAAATATCTCAAACTGTTACTATGCATTTGCTACTACATTAGGAAAGATCACAGTACCTAAAATAGCCACCACCTCATCATCCTGGATGACTTCCAAGGATCCCGACACCACAAAGCAGAGGGCATCCACACTTTCTCCAGCGTGGTAAATGAGGTCCCCAGGAGCACAGTGAATGGTTTGGAACTCTACTGCCAAGGCACGCAGACACCCATCGCTGGCCAATCGAAAAGCAGGATGTTCATTAAAAACCTTCCGGTTTAGATGAACACAGATATCAGCTCTCATGTCCTTGGGACAGATGGAGAGGACCTAAAGAAGGTGAGAGATGAATAAGTGAAAAGGAAAGAGAAAAGGGCCGCTTCAGAAAAAAAAAATCATCCAACAAATATTTATTGACTATGACTATGTCTGCTACACACCCTGCTAGGTACTGGGAAGGCAAAGGGAACAAGACACAGCTCTGCTCTCAAGGAGGTAATAATCCACTGAGATGGACTGATGAGCATATGGACCATGACAATGCAGAACCATGTAGTAAATGCTTTGAGAAGAGTATAGCTCTCCCCTCAGAAAGAACACCTTGGCCAGGCAAGGTGGCTCACTCCTGTAATCCCAGCACTTTGGGAGGCCAAGGAGGGTGGATCACTTGAGCTCAGTAGTTTGAGACCAGCCTGGGCAACATGGGAAACCCTGTCTCTACAAAAAGACAAAAAAAATTAGCTGGCCGTAGTGGTGCATGCCTGTAGTTCCAGCTACTTGGGAGGCTGAAGTGAGAGAATCACCTTATCCCAAGAGACAGAGATTGCAGTGAGCCAAGATCGTGCCACTGCACTCCAGCCCTGAGCGACAGAGCAAGACCTTGCCTCAAAACAAAAACAAAACAATTTTGAGGTGGTCAAGAAGAGTCTCAGAAAAAAGTTAATATCATTTCATCAAAGAGTCAAGTAAAATAGGGCATGAACATTCATTTTAATCTAGCAGATGTTTCAGAATTTTTTTTATAACTAAATCAAAATTCCACATTGGAGGTGGATTCACGCTAGACAGCTTTCAGAAAACAAAATCAACAAAAGCACCCTGGCAACTTGACATACTGGCACTGGCAGACTAACTCCACCCTTGATATATTTTCTTCACTCTGAAGGTTTTCCTTTTACAAATAAACTCATGTCCAGGGAGGGCCAAGGGTATTGACCAGCCTTCTGTAAGGCTTGGGTGGTTGGAAATGTCAGTGCTGGCAGGGTGGGCACGTTATTTTGTATGGCAGTCCTTGTTCATTCTGGTCTTTGACTTCTGAACACTGCTGCAGGTAGTAGAATTCAAGCTGTAGGCATCCTTTAAAAGAGGAAGCAAATGGCAGAAGTATACTTATACAGCAAGGAGTAGAGAGCTTTTATTGGCTACAGCTTTCTGACAGGGTGATTAAAGACCCAGATTAAAATGGACATTATCATCATATTTAATCAGAACATCGTGGAGCAAGACGTGATTGCGGAAGTTAATACCACCCATTTTAAGAATGCAAGTGCAAACTCATTTAGAATGCTCCTCAAACCCCCTTTGTAAACTATTCCTTATAACCAGAAATGGTTTTCTTTGATCGGATTTCAATCCCTCAAAGCTGAAGCTAAATTGATTTACCCCATTAAGTAATACTGCATAATATTTTAATACATATGAAATCATTTTCTTTGCTCTACTAATTGCATTTTAAGCTTTAAAACATTTCCTAAGGCTTGAAAATGTCTGACTATTCCTTTTTTTCCTTTTCTTTTTTTTTTTTTTTAGACGGAGTCTCACTCTGTCGCCAAGGCTGGTTTTTTTTTTTTTTTTTTTGAGACGGAGTCTCACTCTGTCGCCAAGGCTGGAGTGCAGCGGCGGGATCTCCGCTCACTGCAAGCTCGTCCTCCTGGGTTCACACCATTCTCCTGCCTCAGCCTCCCGAGTAGCTGGAACCTCAGGCGCACGCCACCAAGCCCGGCTAATTTTTTTTGTATTTTTAGCAGAGACGGGGTTTCACCGTGTTAGCCAGGACTATTCCTTTTATTTGGGGGTCACTATCAATGAAAAATGGGTTGCTTCCCTGTAGAGAAGACAAGCCCATCATTAATGTAAAAACCATTAATTAAATTAGGCTTTCAGTATCCCTTCTCTTAACCTTTCTTAATAGTGTACATACATTTCACATTAGTTAATCATCTCTGGGTTTTTTTCATACTCCCTGAAATTCCTATAGGCAGCAGCAATCTGCTCACCCACCTTTCTGAAAAATCTGATCTTTGAGGAAAGGAATGCCTAACACAATTACTTTAAAAGTAATTGACACTGTTTTCACATCAGTTATTGTATATAACGAGGCAATGTTTTCTTTAACATATAAACCTTTAGTGACTTTGGACAATATATCAGTCATTCCACAGGCACTTACTGAGCTTCCACAAGGGTCACATCACTATGCTAAATCCTCAGAACTAGAAGGATAAGTAAAACACTGTGTTTGCCTCAGGGGAGCTAACCAGAAAGTGTGGGAGGTGCGTGTGTAAAGGGACAACTGCAATACAATGAAAGAAGTGGAATGATAGGGGCGTGACCAGAGTGACACAGAAGCATGTGCTGCCTGTGAGTCTTTACTTAGAGGCAGCAAAAACGATCAGGCTCAAGAGGACGTCAGTCTGGTTTCAAAACTATCACAACCTTTGTAACCTGGAGCACCTTATTTAATTCCTCTAAACCTCATCTGTGAAATGGGAATAATGATAGTGCTTATATCTTAGGCTTATTGCAGAAATTAAATGACAGGGCATGAATTGAGCCTAGTATAGCCTGGCACATAGCAAGGGCAGAGGAAATACTAGCTCTTATTATTACTACCGAACATCTGTCCTCCTACAGAGTTTATTGTTGCATAAACTCTCTACAAAAACAATTTGCTTTTTTCACTTTCCACTCTGTCTGAAGTCTTCATCTGGGCAGTTTGATAGGTTTCCAGACAGAATTAAGAAAATATTTCAGCACAAACCTGAAGATATTTTAAGCACTGATTAAGGTTAATATTTTTTCCATGTTGAAAATGAAATTAGCTCTAGAAGAACAAAAAGATTTAAATACATACACACATACACAAACATTACACTGAATACCTTAATGGAAAAATAGACTGCTCTATTTCAATGCATTTACCATATAGGGCTTTCACTGTTTTCTATTCATTTTGGTAATAGTCATGTTATTTCCTTTTAATAATGTTTTTCAGGATTCATGCTGCAAATGAAATCTTCCAATATTTGCAATACTCTCTGTTTATTGGCATGTGAAAAGAGGATTTTATTACATTATGAGTATCTTTCCTTTTTTGTTTCACTTAACATATGACACTAATTGATTTATTATTTTGATTGATGGTATCTATTTATATCCAGATATCAAAAAGTGACAAGGTAAAACTAAATGCTAAAATAGATCAACCAAAGTCACACCCACTGGCAAGTGCCTTCCTTCCCCAACCTTAGATAGAGCATGTGTGTTACATGATGTTTTTGTCATCAAAATATAAGTATCTTGTTATTTACTTTGGAAATGAAATGTTAATAACTGTCTTAGCCAAGGCAAAACTTGGTTTTAAGTGATGGAGTAAAATTATCATTCAAGATGACTCTCACACCTGGTCCACTGGTCTCAGTTTCCATGTATTCTGCCTTGAATCCAATTTATTGTAGGTAGGTTTCCTAATGAGGATTTCATAGTTATAAACAATTAAAATTATATTTCAGAAGAAAATATTTAGGTTAAAAGTGACTTTTGTTTGTTATCAGAGTTGTTTCTCCCCTCTTTGCAACAAAATATTAATAAATTAAAGTAGACTCTTCATTAAGATGAGCAATAAATTTTCTTTGTAAGAGCTATGGTGTCAGAGGCATGTGAACCAGAACAACTCCATCATGAATAGGTGCTGGGTGAAATGAGGCTGAAAGCTACTGGGCTGCATTTCCAGACAGTTAAGTCATTCTAAGTCACAGGATGAGATAGGAAGTCGGCACAAGATACAGGTCATAAAGACCTTGCTGATAAAACAGGTTGCAGTAAAGAAGCGGTCTACCAAAATCAAAATGGCCACGGAATGACTTCTGATTGTCCTCACTGCTACACTCCCATCAGCGCCATGACAGTTTACGAATGCCATGGCAATGTCAGAAAGTTACCCAATATGGTCTAAAAAGGGGAGGCATGAATAATCCACCTCTTGTTTAGCATATCGTCAAGAAATAACCATAAAAATGGGCAACCAGCAGCCCTCGGGTCTGCTCTATGGAATAGCCATTCTTTTATTCCTTTACTTTCTTAATAAACTTGCTTTCACTTTGTGCTGTGGACTTGACCTGAATTATCTCCTGTGTGAGATCCAAGAACCCTCTCTTGGGGTCTGGATCGGGACCTCTTTCCTGTAACCTATTTCTGGCAACCACAGAAGGGACTATAGTGCAGAAACCCTGACCCAACCGCTATCTTTGGGTAAGTGTTGGGGTCCTGTAACATATTTCTGGTGAACTACAGAAGGGATGATACTGAAGAAACCACCATCCCCCAAAGGAAACAGACCGCAGCACTGATTGGATGACTTTGGGTAAGTGGTGGGGTACGCAGATAAAGAATGAGATTGGGTTGCAGGCTCAACTTAGGGGAGCTAGAGTCTCTCCTAAGACAGAGTGGGTTAGAGGCCCCTCTTAATAAAAGGCAATGAGGCTTGACTGACCTTGGGTTACAGGCCCAACTTAGGAGGGCTAGAGTCCCTTCTAAGATTTAGGGGGTTAGAGGCCCCTCTCAGTAAAGTCCCTCTCAGTTAAGAACCGGTTTGGCACTATGGGATGCTAACTGCTAGTCTCTTTGGATTAATCTGCCTTGCACTCTTTGCTGATGGCTGTGGGTGACAGAGTTAGGCATGTACAGGATTGTGGGTTATGGGGAGGTTTTTCCTCCCTGAAAGGGGCAACTTAAGAGTTGACAGGATTGCTGGAAAAGATCCCTTTGCTACCGAGAAGCAGCTGCCTGAACTTTTCAGTGTTGCTGCAATGGGCGGGCCTTTCTCTGACCTCCCTGAACATTTCGCCTTCTCCACCCTGCCACAGGCAATGTTTTTCTGTCTCTCCTTTCCCTTTCTTATCATTTCTATTACTCAGGGTGACCATCTTGCCCAGAGACCACATGTTGAACTCCAAGTCAGAGGTTGGATTAGACTCTGCCAAAAAAAACACCCATGAACCTAAACCCAGTAACCCAAGTAAGAAACTTAGAAACTGGCAAATGAAAAATCT